GTGTGCGCGTGTGTGTGTGTGTGCGCGTGTGTGTGTGCGTGTGGGTGTGTGTGTGCGTGCGCGTGCGCGTGCTCTATGTGTGTGTGTGTGCGTGTGTGTGTGTGTGTGTGTGAGTGTGTGTGTGTGCGTGCGCGTGCGCGTGCTCTGTGTGTGTGCTCTATGTGCATGCTCTGTGTGTGTTGACATCATAGAAGAGGGAACATCAGCTTGAATGATGGACATGGAGATTCTTATCTATGATATATATATATATATATATATATATATATATATATATATATGTGTGTGTGTGCGTGTGTGTGTGTGTGTTCGCGTGTGTGTGTGTGTGCATGTGCGTGTGTGTGTGTGTGTGTGCGTGTGGGTGTGTGTGTGCGTGCGCGTGCGTGCTCTATGTGTGTGCGTGCGCGTGCGCGTGCTCTGTGTGCGTGCTCTGTGTATGTGCGTGCTTTGTGTGTGTGCGTGTGTGTGTGTGTGCGTGTGTGCGTGTGCGTGTGTGTGCGTGCATGCGTGTGCGTGCGTGCGTGCGTGCGTGTGCGTGTGTGTGTGTGTGTTAACAATTCTTTTGTTTTGATGATGTTCCACCTCCTATTGTTTTGACTTCTAGTTCTAGCACTCTTTGGCACACTAAGCTAGGCCATCCCAATTTACATGTATTGAAGCTTGTTCTCATTCAATGTAAACTTGGTTTAGTAAATAAAAATACCTTTGACTTTTACAATTCATGTTATTGGCAAATTTCATCATTTACCTTCTGGTATTTCTGATTGGAGTTGATTTACACAAACTTATGGGGCCACTCTCATGTGATTAGTTTTTATGGATATACTTATTACATTGCCTTTGTTGATGTTTTTTCCAAATATACTTGGATTTATCCCTTAAAAGCAAAATTTGAGGTCCAAATTTTGCTTCACTTAAGACTTGTTGCTATTGGGAAGCCACTCAATTTAAGTGTCATGTGTGATGTTAATTGGGCTTCTTATGTAGATGACAAACGCTTTACCTCTAGTTCTTGTTGGGAATCTTTAACATGGGAAACCTTCTCAATGTGACTAAGGAAAAACCATGGGACCTTGTCTAGCAAAAGATCTCTACTATATTAGTAGGATTACAAGTGGTCTCTTTTTCTCAAAAGGATCACTCAAAGAATCCCACCCCTCTTGGATGGTTATCTCACGGATACAACAATTATCTCTCAAACTCTCTCTTTCTCTCAAAAAGGATTGTATTAAATGGGATGTCTCACCAATTCACAAGCCTCTCTATTCATAGGGGATGAAAGGGTCTTCATTCATAAAGAGGTGACTCTTCATGAGAAAATGGATAATTAAAATCCACTACACAATTACTCATGTTAATGCTAGTGGTGGTCTTCAAAGGATCATGCCTCTTGGTTTTATTAAATTATTAATTTCCACTTACTAGTGGTTAATAATTATGGAAGGAATTCCAACAATTCTACCATTTTTCTTAGACCTAATTTGATATCTTTGTGGTCTCGAAAGTAGCAAGTTACTACATGGTCAAGTACAAGGGCTGAATACAAAGCTATTACTCAAACTACTATTAAGTTGACTCAGATTCAAGCTTTTTTAAAGGAACTACATGTTCGTTTCTCTCATTTTACCTTGTTGTTTGACAACATGAGCGTTATAACTATCGCTCACAGTCTTATTTTTCATAGTTGTACTAAGCACATGGAAATTTGTGATTTTTTGTTCGTGAGAAGGGGTTGGCTAAGCAACTTTAGATTCATCATATTCCTGCCTTGGATCAATGGGTCGATATCTTGACCAAGCCTCTCTCTCCATCTAGATTTGAAGTTCTTAAAGACAAACTTCATGTAAAAGGATTTTCCTCCAAAAAAAAAACCTTTCCATGTGAGCTTAAGGGGGGGGGGGGTATTGGTGTTTGTAAATATGCACTATATGTGTAAATATAAAGAAATATAATTTTATCATTAGTTTGTTAGGATATTTGTTAGGTTGTTAGAATATAACAACTATATAGTACAATTGTATCATCGCGCTTGCAACTCATTTTATCCTTGAGTAATCATAATGAGCTCCACCATTCACTTCAATCTTATTTAGTTTTTTCTCTAATAAACTTAAGTGAGTTAGGTTGGTTCATTTACCCACTACAACTAAAAAATAAAATAAAAATTCTATGTTTATATTTTATGTAGTAATCGGTTGAAATTTTGATTGATTTTTTTTTTGTATTTGTATTTGAATCATTGATAGACTTGACTTATTGATAGAAAGAATTGTAACTCTTTATTTTATTAAAATCCTAAACATGTAATTAATTTTTTAATTTTAAAAAAATCTGGTGTGTCAACCTATGGTAGGTCGAGCGAGGTTGGAATTTTCCTTGCTTTCCAAAAAGTGAGCTAAGTTAAATTGATTTGTTTAAAGCACTAACCTATGGTAGACCAACCTATGTGAACTCACTTTGACACCTTTACCTAAAACCACTAAAGTTCCCCCAAAAAGTCAAAGATAGTTCTTCCTTCACAAGTGAGCTTGGCATAAAACCAAAAAGTGTCGTCTCATTAAAATCATGTCCAACGCCAGGCCCTTGCACTAGAAGCAAGAGTGCAAATAAGATGAATGAACTCTTTGCCAAAATGGTGTTGGGGGAATGCATGTAACGCTTGATGCAAGATGATCTCTTTTTTCCAAGAGCTCTTGAGCTTAGCACCAAAATCTTGAGTTAACACAACAAAGGACAATCACATGCTTCACATTTCACTTGAACAAAACTTTTTGTTCAACTTGCTCTAAATCTTCTAACTATACAATTGCTAGTCAAAAAATGAGAATTAGTGATAAAGGAGTAACATCGACTTATTTCTAATTATTTACAAATTACAAGATTAACTAAAAAAAGGTTAACTTCATTTCAAATTAGAGAAAAGTTGACAATTATTATGATAGTATGATCATGAAAGTAATTATAATTGAACATTGTAAGTTAAGAACCCTAATTTAAAGACTTGAAAGGGAAATGAATTAGGGATTTCCTTCTTTATGTACATGTTTGTCATGCAAGGTAAATAGTTAATTGAAGTAAGGTTTAAGGCATTAAGCAATTTTATATTTTTTTAATTTAATATATATATATATATATATATAATTAATTAATAATGTGTCATAAGTACAGGTTGGGTTATATTTGAAAATTAAAATTCACATTATACCACTTGTACATGAACAAAATGGTTTTGACCCAAAAATTGAAGAAAAAAAATCCAACTCAAAATAATTTGGTTGGATTAGATTGACTCTAGTTTATAGATTATTTAAACATGAGCTCCCCTTATTTTCTATCATATCACATTACATCTCTTACTTCATTTCATTACCATTTTTTTTCTTTGAGTTACTCTCCTCCATCCATCTCATTCGACTCCCAAAATGAGGTGGATGTTCTTTTATCAAATTTTAAACCATACCAATCATACTTGGAAAGTTAAGGTTAAAAATTATTTAATGATTACATGACTACATAAACATAGTTTAGAAACTAAATATCATGAAAGTTTTTTTGACCTACCACAAGTTTTTTTTTCATTCTACTAATTTAGAAACTAATCTCGTTAATAATATTGTAATTGTTATTAATACAACAAATTTTTGCCCACGATGAAGATCGAACCTAAGTTTTTCGTTACATAAATCATTATCACGTGTGAACGCAAAATGTCTAACCACTACATCAACCCATCAAATTAAAAAATAATTGATCTTAGAACTATACAAGGAAAGATTTAATGAAGTTTGATCTAAACATGTTTTTGCATTGATATAACTTTTTAATTACTTCACCTTCTATTTATTTGTTTAAACTTATTCCTTAAAATCAATTAAAATCCCAAATGAAAATTTATAACACATTTGTGTACAAGTTAATTTCTTATATTTAGTTTATTAATTTAAAAATAACATTCATAGAAATATTATTTTCCGGTAATTTATTTTTATGTTTCTCACAATTATTCCTATAGGAACGTGTGGGAAGTTGAATGAAAAGGTTTATTTCGATGAAATATCACACATTAAACTAACTTTTAATGTACATTGAATTTAATTAATCTTAGTTTTTTAAAGTAGAAAATGAGAATAAGCTAAATCTTTATATATCTATTCCGACGTCTAACCACAAGTCTAACATATAATTTCATCAAATTTAAAAGTTACTTAATACTTCATCAATTAGTCAAACTTAATATCTCAAGAATAATTTCATTTTTAATGGCCCTCTGAAAATTGTGCAAAGAGATTATTTACAACGTAGACTACATACATGTTATTTACAAGATAATTAAAGAATATAACATGAATGGCTAAACACATAAAAAAACTAACACGCTTCACTATCGATCAAAACTGGAGAGGAATGGAGCTAAGGATGACCTTGGTGGAGTTAAACGATTCTCCTCAGATCTCGAGTTCAAAGGAGAAGCTTGCGGCATGAGCTCAGATAACCGAATCTTTTCGTTAATAATTTTATTCTGAGTAAAGGTGAGCAACAAGTTCTTTAAAATTTGATCTAGAAGGATTCGTATTCCAATTTCTCAAATTTGGTGCATTATCTGCTTACCTTAAATTTCAAATCTTCTTGTTCCATTTCCATTGAAGTTATCCTATTCTTGAGCTCCTTTAGGGCTTCCTCGGCCATAGAGGGATTTACATCCGATGTTGGTCTTTCTATTCCAGCAACCTGAAAGTAAAGCATAAATAACGGTAAGTATTTGCATTGAAAATAGATTGAAAAGCATGATGGGGCAGAGCAAGAACCATAAAACATTGTCCTGACCTTTAGAACATTAGTGGACAATCTCAGTAATTGCTGCGCTAATTGTACTTTTTCTTCCTCGATTTCCTGTGTCATTATTGACTCATTTAAATTTAGATTTTATTTAGCTACTTGGAGTACAACACATTACTTCTTCGATAACTGACCTTCAGTTTTATCATGAGTCGTTGTTCCTCATCAATATCAATGCGTGTTTTCACCCCGGCAGAAGCACGAAGACGAGCAAGGTCTTCTTTGACGCGCGAAACGAAGATATCTGCTCTCCGCAGCTTTGCACTGAGTTCTTCGTTCTGTATCTTTAACTTGTTGTTTTCCTCCTGTTGAATAATTCCATGATCAGCTTCAAGATTGAATTCAAAGATACCTTGCCAATTACGAGCACTCTTATACGCTCTTACAATCATCTTACTAATATTTTATAAGAAAATAAATGTTTAATATATTAGACATAGAGAAATCATTTAATCCTTGTTAACTAAGAAGATTAGTATAAATCTGTTGTCTATAGTTTGAGATCTAGAGCTGCAAAAATAATGTAGGAAGTACAACATCTACTTGAACCTTTTAGCATCATGATAATAAAGAAAAAAGATGACGTCTTACCTTAATTTTAGCATGATGATGAATACGCTGCTGAAGATTTTGCTGACCAGACAACTTTTTCATTTCTTCCTCCAGTTCCATTATTTTATTCTTCTTACTTGAATTTTCCGTCTGCATAAAATGAGGGTAGCAAGGCTAACCATTAGAAACGAAAGAAAGAAAAACGAACCGCACAAAAAACAGAAAGAATAAAAGTTAAAATCTTCTACCTTCAGCATTTCATTTTCAGTATTTAGAAACTGGTCTCGCTGCCGAAGGTTTTCCAATGCAATTTGTACAGCTACCAATTCCGCTTGTTTCCTGTCCATTTCTTGCAGCCATCTGACAGGTGGGGATTCAGAATCATAAGAATTGTGGGTATAGGGAAGAAAAGCTAATCCTGCTTAGCATCTAGCATTTGATTCTCAAACCCCACCCCACCTCTCAAAAAGAAAAAAGAATATGAAATTTAATTACCCCTTCCTCTCTTCAATGAATTCATTCAGCTGCTGCTTTAGTTTAATAACTTCCTGTTCCAGAATGAAATAGCAATTTTAGCTTAATTAAGCCATAATAACAGTGCAGTCTAGTCCAAAGTTTAAACCACCTTGTCTTGAGGCTCTAGAGTAAGAAATTGAACTTTCTCTGTTATCTCCCCCGCTTGCTGACCATCATCCAATAGTGACTACATTAAGGATATTAAATTAAAGATGAGCGTCATTGGGCGAATAGAACTCTAAATATTCTTGGGTAAAAACCTTTTATGGGAATGATTCCTGTTTCTAACATATACCCATAACTATTTAAAGTTAGATTTTCCTCTGTATCCCGAACATGAAATATGAAAACACAAAGACATGCTAAGAGAAATCGCTAAAAGTAGATGAGTTTACCACACAAGTGGTCATATCCAACTTTACTCCAAGTAAGTCTCGAATGACATCATGGGTCATGCTCTCGGCATTTGCTAATTTGGCATTCAGTGCAAATATCTGGACAAAGAAGAGGAAGAAACATATTGAGGCCCATAAAGCAAAAGCCAACTACTGCCGAATATGCAGCTGAATAGAAAAGTCAACCTCTCTCTGTCGACATGCTGCCTGGGATTCTAGTTCTTCAATGCGCTGTCTTGCAGCAGCCAGCTCTTCAACCTTCTCATACTTTATCTGTTGTGTCAAGCCCAACCCAATGCATTTGAAAGGAGAACCAGAACCTCGAGATTTGGTGGCATTCTTCTCGGACTTGTTTGACAAAGCACCGATGGAATGGGTAGAAAGCCCCTCAGGTTTGACTTGTTCAGCCATGGCTTCCAATGCTTTGAACTGATTTAAAGTTAAGATATAATATAAGTATAATTATCTTGTAAGGAAAGAATGCAAGATTGATCTGTCTGCATAGTTGGTACTGCTGAGCTACAAAATTATAACTAATAACATCCTAGAACATTTTATTATAACTAATAACATCCAAGAACATTTTATTCAATATAATTACTAACTTTTTGCTTGTACTCCTTGGCCTGTGCTTCAGCATGCAAATTCAGCTCTGAAATATGAGCTTTCATTTGTTGAATCTGTCAGAGACAGCCACAAAAAAATTAAATTTTATCTGTTATCAGAAACTTCAATCCAACAGACATGGTTAGTCATGCTGTAGAAATCCTACCTCCGTATCCTTTCCGGTCAACTCCCTCTTAAGAACTTGTATGTGATTTAGGGCATCGTTGAGGCTTTTCTCTTTTTCTTCCAAAAATCTACATGAATTGAAATAGAAACAAGAAAAATATTTTATATTCATGATTTATAGATTAGCACAGTTCATATTTTGCCTATGATAAAGACCCGTTATATACACACAAAAAAAAGGTAGGGAATAAGTAGCCAAAACCTTCTTATGTCACCATCAGCATTTCTGACATTTTGCATCTGATCTTTTAATGCATGTAGCTCCAACTCTAGATCTTCTCTTTGCAGCCGCTGTCGTTCTGCTTCTCCTTTAATGATGTCAACCTGAACAAAATAATTAAGGAACTGTGATACCTAAGGAGGTAGACAAAGTTGTCAAATATCACCAGAACAAAATGACAACTCACTTTGTTTTCTAGTACATTTATAGTATTTTCCAGCTCTTCAACAGATCTCTCTAGAAGTTTCACCTCTTCTTCTCTATCTTCAGCATAAATTTTTCTTGTTTCTGCCACCTGTAATTAACAAATTTCAGACAGAAACAAGGAAGAAAACAATCATTCAGCCAGTTCGCTATTCTTTTCTTTTGACTGCTTTATTCCTAGAGTAGAAGCAAATCAATGAGCACGGGAAAAATTATTTTTCAAATACCAAATTTTTAATGTTAGGTTATCAAAATCATAATTGTACTATACATTTTGCTTTCTTTGGCACATTAATCACAAAAGGTTTATGATTCTCACTTTAACTAATTGCATTTGAAATTGTATAGATGCCAGTGTTGAAAAATGTGCAGTTTTCTTTTTCAATAAAACCATAAAAAGTGAAAATCACAAATTGATATGGCAAGCCATATCATTTGACATTTAAAAAAAAAAAAGATGTTGACACGTTAGACCTGTTGAAGATACAACTCCTTAAGACATGATAGTACATAACAAAGTTCTTCATGTTGAGTCATGAATTATTGGATAATAATGTCATGAAAGGAAGACATGCTGCGTTATTAATAGATAAAACCATTACCTTCTGAGCTTCTTGAGCAATTGCTTCGTTAGCTTCAACTTGTGCTTCAGCTTTTTCAAGCCTGTTTTTGAGGCAAATTACTTGAGCCTGAAGTTGATCCCTCTCGATAGTGAGTTCATCCAGATCACTACTCAGGTTTTTAATTGAATCATTCATTTGGTTAGTAACACTGTTCATTTCAAGGATTTCATCTTCCAGGCTCTCTGTTATCTTCATTCTTTCTGTCAGCTCATTGTCAGCCAGTATTCTTGCTGCCAAGGCATCTTCAATATTTGTTCGAAGTTCTTGATTTTCACTGACTTGCAGCTTTAGAGCCTCACGTTCTTTTGAGAGATCCAACTCAAGAGCTGTAATTATGTCTGATTTGCGCTGCAACTGAGCTTCAAGCAATTGACAGTTTGCAACAACGTCAGCAAGTTCATCTGATTTACCAGCAAGCTCCACTTCTAATGCTTCCATTGTAGCTACAATTTTTTCAATTTCATCCTTTTGGTCTTTATTGTTAGATGCAGATTCTTGCAGTAAGCTCAGATCATACAACAGTCCTTTTATTACATCATCCTTTCTGGATAACTCAACCTGCAGTAAGCTCTGCATTCTAGTTAACTCAGAATCCTTTAGGTTCAGCTCATTCTTAAGTCTGCAAGATGAATTTTCCAAAATATAATTTACTTTCTTGAACTCCACATTTTGTTGCTCAAGAAAAGAAATCTGATGGAAAGAAAATTCAGAAGCCACATCCTTCTCTATGACATCACCAATCAATTTATCATAATCAGCTTCTAGATCAAGAATCTTATCCAGCAGTCTTTTCTTTGCCTCCTTAACTTCAACAAGTTCACCCTTCAATGCATTATTTGAACAAGAAACATCCTTTAGAAACTCAATATTTTGTTCTAGGACCTTGTTTACTTCACCCATCTCGGTAATCCTTGAGACCTTCCGGTTCAATTCTGTCATTAGGTCCTGCCTTTCCACTTTTGTCTGCTGAATTTCTCTTTCTAAAAGGGAAACTTCAGCTTCCTTATCCATCAAAATTTGTTCTGCTAACTCGGTTTCTACTTTAGAAAAGATTGTTTCTGTCTTCAGTTGCTCAATTAATATAGAGTACTTGACAAAATGTTCCTCCATACTAGCTATATTACATGACATATTTTTTAGTTCAGAAGCATGGATAAGTGACTCAAAGTCTTTGGCATACCAATCTGCCATTAAAAATTCAGCTTGAGATTCAATGGCATCTACTTTCTGTTTTAGTAGTTTCTCTTGATCTAAAAGGGATGTCACAATATCTGTATTACTCACATCCAATTCCCTCATCAGCTTAGCAAGTTGGGATCCCATTTCATTCGACCTTTGCAACATCATCTCCTCCTGAAGCTGTAGGTCTGATATGTTTTTAGCAAAAGTGTTTAGCTTGATGGTGATCTCTCCAGCTTCAAATTCTTTCTTAGTAATGCGATCAAAACTGTTCTTGATGTCAGCCAGCAGTTTCCCTTTCAAGATTCTGCACATATCAAGCTCTTGCTTTGTCCTATAATTATGTTCCTTCAAATCACTGATGACAGAGTTTGATTCACACAAGCCATGTGAAAGCAAGCCATTTTCGGCATGCATCCCTGTTACTGTTTCCAGTAAAATACCCATGTGACAGAGATGCAGCACAGACATTGCACAATCTTTAAAAATTATCTCAGACCATATCTTCTCAAGCCATGGCTGTATCAACTTAGTGGAATATAAAAATTGAGACTTGAAGCACTCTAAATCACAAGCTAAAGACCAGAAATTTTCTGTCATCACCAATTGGACTTCTTTAATGACATCATCCAACTTAACAATTAAATCCCTTGTTTCTACTAAACTTGATTCAACAAGGTCCTCTATCTCTTTATTCTTCAAATCAACAACAGTTTGTAAGCTTTCAACATTGCTGATTAGTATGGTCTTCTCACTGAGCAATGTCTTTTCTCTGTCTTTCAGTCTTTCTATATCAATCTTCATTGACTCATTAGCTATCACCAATCCATTGATCATAATGTCTGCTTCTCTCATCGTATCTTGTGCTTCTCCAAATTTAGCAAGAATACAAGATGTCTCTTGAGCTGTCTGAGCTTGAACTATCTTTGCCTCTCCCACTTCAAGTTCAAGTGACTGCAAAGAAAAAAGCATAGTGTGCATGAAGCTATTGAATGTTAACTTTATTTATTATAAAAAAACTGCATTACTGCACCTAACTCAACCCCCTAGCTCAAGGGGGAGGGTCGTCCAAGTCTCGAAGAGTATTTTAGCCATATAACTAGCAAATGCATGCCATCTTACTGCTATGTAGTCAACAAGTTTCTATCAACATCAATGGGAAAAGCTCATGACAACAAGAAAAGCAAGTAAATGCACAATCAAGTTCAACACTAAGAATAACATAAAGCAAACACAACTTTCTAGTGAATGGAAGAGAGAGAAAACAGCAACAGAGGTTCAAAAACTGGACAATATATTTAATGTGCAAAAAGGATTACCTCTTTCTTCTGATACCAATGGGAGCCAACTTCTTTCAGAGGTTTCTCCAGGCCTCTAAGTTTGTGACTGAGTGCTTCAATCTTCAGTTTGGACTGCTCTTCAAACTGGTTCATAGCTTCTTGCAGGAAAAGTATCTGATTTGTGAGGCATCCTATGCTTTGCTGACTCTTCTTTTCACACAATGACATTTCCTTTTTCTCTTCATGTAATTTGGCCATTTCATATTGCACTTCTTTTAAGCTTTCAAGAGCACATTCTATTTCTTTTCTCAAAAGTGTAATCGTAACATCTTTTTCATGCACATCCTTGCATACTCTTCTTGATTCCTTTTCTTTCTTATCATATTCATTTTTGACCAAATCAGCCAGATCAACTAGAGGTTCTTCAATAGAAATGGGATCTGAATCACGGTTTTGATGTGTTTCAGAAATTGTCTGCAACAATGCCAAAATAGCAAATACTGAATAAAAACCATTCACTGACCACTGACATGAATGAAATAAACTTGGCATTACCTAAAGTAAATCTATCAGAAAGCAGCATTAGCTTACCCTTGGTTTACCACAAATACCATCATAGTCTGATGTGCATGCATCCATTGAATTTCTATTATTCAGACTTTCTGAATGGTCTGCAAAAGAGGTCATGCATGACCTGATTGAAGAGACACCATCTTGTAATGTTGCTAGCTGCTCCCTTGTCTTTGAAATGGCATTCTTTTCAAAATCTTCAAGCTTTTGTTCTAAAGCAAAAGAATGCTCTTGCTCCTCAGACAACTTCTGCGATAATTCATTACACCTTTCCAGCAACTCTGCTATCTGTCTCTCTGCTTGACTAAGTGAAGTGGATTGGTCAATGAGAAGGGCATCCATCCTGTTATTAGTCTCTACTAGTTCACTAAGCAGAATACCCTTATGCTTTAGATCATCAAGGTACCCAATATTCACTTCTGACAATCTATTCACAACTACAAAAGCCACTGTTGCACAATTTGATGCTTCTCTAATACGATCTTCTGCCATTATCAACTGCTCCTTCAGTTGTTTCACAGTAGATGTTTTTTCGCTCAGCTGTGAGATCAATAGTAGAATTTCTTTTTCTTTTTCAGCGCACTCTTTCTGGTGGGATTCAGTAATCACTAATGCTGCACTTCTTAAGGACTTCAGCATACACTCCATGTCACTTCTTTTATTGCTTGCATCTTCCAAACATCTTCTGAGTTCATCAATTAACAATTCCTTTTCAGAGATTTTTCTAACTATCATGCCAACTTGTTCAGAAATCCAGATCCTTTTCTGTGGAAATGAATTGCTTATATGACCAAGTTCATTAGATGCATCAACAAGTGCCTCACATCCATCAACAAGAATCTCTTGAATCTCAGTGGTCAATAATTCCCATTCTTCAACCAGTGATATGAGTTCTATATCTTTTTGGCCAAGCTCTTCCTTTAAACATCGATTATCATCAATAGTAGTAAGCAATTTTTGTTGCACCTCCTTCAATTCAGTTTCCAGATGCAACATACTCTCTTTCATTTCAATTTCCTTTAAATGACCATCATTTACTTGATCCTGGAGCAGGGCAAGTTCTTCTTGCATACAGACAATCACCTCAGCAGTTTCGGCCTCAGCCTGCCGACGGATTTCATCCATCTCTTCCTCATTGGACATCTGGAATGCACGATCATTTTGGTAGGACATGTTCAGTTGCTTGGCTTTTTCTAGAGAATTATGCATCCTTCTGAGTTTTACCTGTAAGGGAGACTCATTTTCAAACTCCACATGATTTGAAGGCAAATTATCTCTAAACTCTTCAGACGCAAGTTGGTTCTTCAAGGTCAAGATTTCATGTTCTTGTTTCCCCATAAGCTCCAGATAATGGTTGTTCTTGTTCCTCATCTCTTCTATCTCTTTGATAGATAATATATGCTGTGATTCTAAAGCTTCAATAACATACTTTGCCTCTTTCAAATCATCATTTGTATCTTCTAATTGCTTGCTTGTTTGCTTAAGCTTGTCTTTTGCCATCAGAAATTCCTGATTTAAGCATGTTGTTTGGTCCTCCAATAGGCCACGGAAAGTCCTCTCTTCCTTCAGAATGACCTTTATTATATCTAATTCCAGCTGCAAATTTAAAATATCTTCTGTGTGTTTTAACACTTGAGTTTCATGCTTCAGCCCGATCTGCGGAACTGCCTGAGCTTCACAAAATGATCCTTCTGTAGAAACCTGAAAACAATAATGATAAAAAATAAAAAAAATAAAAAAAACATTATTTCACATGTCACAGAACTATCCTACATATGAAGTGATAAAAATAAAATAAAAAATTGTAGCAGAAAGCCATAATGTGTATGGAATATGAAAGGTCCAAAAGAATCCACATGATTGAGTTCATCATAAGCTTTCCACACAAATACCATTCACATCCTCCTCCTCCTATAGATTTGTACAATGTAGTAAAGAACAAAATGAAAAGATGTGAAATCAGAATAACAAAACTACCTTTGTAGCATTTGTGCTGCTTAGTGTTGAGTGAAGAGAGTCTATTTCCCTGTATAAATATGCAATGAAAAAACATTAGGATTTTTACAGCCAAATTTTGGATTTCCAATCTGCTTCCATTCAACCAAAAGAACTTCAACAAGAGTACCAAAATCATACCTACTGAGTTTTGCATTCTCCTCTAGGCAATAATTTAAATTACGCCTGCATTCCTGTAACTCATCAAGGGTGTTTCTTAGCTGCAATCCATGAACAGCAGTGGTCACATTTCTAATTTAACAACCAAAAAGGTTAAATTATTATGAAGGAAGGAATAAAACCTCGAGATCAACAGAGTTATTTTCTTTCTTGCAGCACTGAGTTTTCTGCACCAGTAGTAAATGGAAATTGTTAGAAATATATTGAACTTTTTTAGCATACGCATGAACACTCAATTATCACTTCAATAGATGGACTATTTTATGAGTTGATTAGTGATTACTATTCTAATAATGACTGTATTTCAACCATACCAATACAAATATATCCCTCTGTGCAGTTTAGAAACACAATTTCAGCATACATTTTGTTTTAACAAGCAAAAAGGGAATGAAATGTTCAATGAATGGAAATTCATGAACTGCTTTAGGTAATTAAAGACTGACCTGAGGTTCAATATCATGATTTGAATTACCCTGTATGGAGTTTCTTCCATGGTACTGAAGCAACTGCAGAACAAAGGTTTTTCAATCATAGAATCTTAAATGCAAGGATTCTAGAAGGGAAATTATTTGTATTAAAATCCAGAAACACAAGTACCTGTTCCCTCAAAGAAGACACTTCAGTCAAAAGAATCTCTCTCTCACCTTCTTCATAGAACTCTTGATATCTGTGCTAATAATGGTAAGGATCTGCTAAAAAGCGAGAACATTTCATAGTCATTGTCTTGGTTAGAGAAGATACATCACCTTCTAAGTTGGTCTAGAAGCCTGATATTCTCCACAGCAAACCGAGTAACTTCAGGATTTCGATCAAGTCTGCCCTGAAGTATCTGAATCTCATCATAAAGTGCTTTATTCTCTTCCTGCAAAAATGTTTCTGTAGGAACTGAACCAGAAAGACGGGATTCCAATCTACGAATTTTGTCTTCACGAAACCTAAGCATCATTTTACAACTCCTAGTATCCTCCTCTCTTTGACGAACCTGAGTGACAGAAGATTTATGAATAAAAAGTGAAGACATTTGAAATATAAAACTTCTATAGCAAGAAGACTTTGTTAGAGAAATACCAAACGGTTTAATTGTTCAATTTCAGCTTCTAGTTGCTTAATAGAAATTTCTGCCATCTGTTCCCTTCTCAAAGCACCAGCAAGAGTTGTCTCCAGTGATTTTAACTGAGCCACAAATGATTTTGAATTGAATATATAAATAAATGAAGGTGCGAGGGAAATAAAACTACATGATTGATGCTAACAATCATACTAGCGGTATATTCATTTTAGTTTAGCCAGAAGCAGGTCAATGCACAAGAATTCCACCATCATGGTGGATCTTGGTAGGGCCAATTGTGCTCTGTAGCCCTGTAAGTGGAGAGGTTGTTTCCGCAGCTAAAACTTCGGACAAGTCACAAGACATTACCTTTTCATTCCACCAAGGCCCACCCTCCCATAGAAGATAATAACATAATCACGACATCTCATTTTACTTGGAAACAGTTCTCTCTTCTCTTATAAAACAAATGATAAATTACAATTACAAAGGCATGAAAATAATAGAAATATTGGTTCAATCTTCAATATAAAATTGTCATTCCCCTGGCCTTCATTAACATATCAAAGCCTAACCAAGTATACCTGTTTGTGGGACATTCTGATGCTATTGGATTCATAATCAGGCATAATATCTTCATTTTGGTCAACCATGTCGGGTGCATTTTCTAGACAAAAGTCTTCAAGTTCTAGTGATTTCTTTATATCTTTGACAGATGTCAAAGAAAATGACAAGGATCTGGAGACATTCTGACGTCGTTTGAGGGTAGAAAGCTCTTCCTGCCCCAAAATTCCACCATTTGAGTTCAATTATCATCTCTCACACAAAGCTTATATTACAAGAAATAACTGATACTACCTTCAAAAGCCGAATTTGATGTTGTAAAGCAACTACATCCCCAGTAGAATCTTCGTTCACCACAGCCTACAAGAATAAGATAAAGAACATATAGAGGTGATAGGTTGATGAGATTCATTCCTTTGAAGGCAATTCAGACTGATCGTAGAATGGCACTCACATTATTTTGAATAAGCTTTGCTCTCTGAGCAAATTTAAGTGTATTCAATGTTTCAGCAGCACAGCTGCAAAGGTGAATAGGGTAAAGCTCCATCAAGCATCTATGGTAAGCTGTAAAATTTCAATAAAGGAAAATATAGTTTCAGATGAATGAACCTACCAGATAGAAGGGCTCACATTGGCAATGATCATTGTTTTCGAGTTTCCACCAAGAGAGTCCTGCCATTTTATGCCAAGAAAGAAGTGATGAATATAAAAGAGCCCTGGGACTAAAGATTCAAAGGAAACCAGCACATAAATCAACCTGAAGAAGAAACGTTAGTCTAGAATCTCTGTAAGGGACATGCCTCTGCTTCCCATTTGCCACGTCCACTAGTATCATAATAACATGTCTGCAGGAATGATTAGAGAATACTTGTGAGTCAATGAGTAAAAAGAAATAAGACAATTGAAATCTTATGTATTAATTTATGAATTTATAAATACCCCAAGGTAGATAGCGATTTATTGATGTTAGCTGCTTCTTTTAAACGCTCCCCCTCAGCACCAGAAGTCTTCTGTCTGTTGTATAAATAATGATAATTTGGTTACTTCATGCACATACATAACCCAAACCCCAACACTAGAGACTAATAACATACCTTTCTGAGCCAGCTAGATCAACCAGGTTTAACCTGGCAAAACGATAATTGGTTGTAGAATCCTTTTCCCATGTGCTCTCAATTACACATGTAAAAACACTGTGGGACCTACTGCTCTCTCTATTCATGTTTGTTGCTGCAACTTTTCTATTTGCGGAACCCTACATGTCAGAAACTACAACTTAATGCAAGAAAGTGCATTTCAGAACAAATATATGTGTTCATTTAAATAACAAAGAAAGGAAATTGTATGGGATTCCTGTAAACTAGTACCTGAGTTAGAAGCCTTATAATGTCACTCACACTTTGAACCTCAAACTCGGATAAATTTTCAACATAAACACCTTTCTTGACATCCTCACGCAGCTATTAAAGAAAAGGAGGATTGAGAAATAATCAAAAATGCTTTGACAGTCATCTGATAAGTGAAGAACAACACTTACTAGCAAATTAGTAGAGCAGGGATCAAGTAAATCTGTAATTTGTTCATTGTAAATCTCCAAAAAGGAACACTTGCAGTTGTATTTTAAGTTCTCATCTCTTCGGCTTTCCTCTTCCTGGAAATTCAGTGGGAGAGAACAAAAGTAAAAAATAAGGGCAGAAATATGCATTAATGATCAATACTTGTTATAAGAACCGGGTTCTTAAGTTATATATAAAAACTGAATTAGCCACAAATGATGAATTTACAGCTTGTATCCTGGCAAACAAAAACTCAAATATACGTGGTGTCATTCCACGCTGGGTACTTGGCTTCACATCTAAATCTTCAATGTCACCGAGCATCGTATATGTTTTCCCACTTCCCGTCTGCAAAATTAAAAAAACTCATTCATCATCTTACAGTTAAAACAATGTCCGTGTATTTCTAGTTATGCTATACGACACCAGAGCATACCACCTCTCAACAGACGACATAGATTTTACACCAGACAACTTTGTGATAAATGATCCATTTACTGCCAAAGGAGCTAAAATGGTGCATAAAAAGACTGAAAAAGATTTAAGCTGTGCTAGGCTTTTATGATCCCTGATTCACAGAACTGCACATATTCCTATGGACATGAGTCGATATGGCAGTAACAAACCTAACCTCCTAATTTATGATGCATGAAAAGTTGGAGTTGAACATCACTGTTTGGTGATGGGAAAACTAAGGAGTCAGCCAAGCAAATACTAACATATATTACAAATGATATCACAATTTTCATTTTTAATTTCTTTTGACTTGGAACCTATGGCATATTCTGTTGTTTCTCTATGTGTTTAAAGTGCCTAAATCTTACTTTACTAATAAGGACAAGTACCAACAGAAAAGATAATTACATCTCAAAAAGCGGCTAAGTTCAATATATTACCTGTCCATACGCAAACATACAACTATTATATCCTGATAGACAGTTCTCTACCATTGGAAGACCAGCCAATCTGAAAATCATTTCCTACAAGACCATGAATCAGGCAGAAATTAACAACTTCCTCCCAAGAAATTAGCACCGCAAAAAAATCTTTTCAATGTAACCACACCTGGTCTATGGTTTCACATGCAACATGATCAAAGGTAAACCGGTTTTCCGGCTGTCCAATCCAAGTAATGCACTGAGAGCTTTCTTGTTTCAAGCATCTGTTATACCCTTGTGAACATCGCTCCATGTTATTGAGAGGACGAACACGAATAATAACCTACAAGCAACGAAAACCCACGCCACAAATCGCAATAAGCACCAGAATTCAATAAACCTCCTCATCCAATCTGAATCAGCTGAATCGAAGATATCCGATCACTCACCTGTACATTGTGGTTAATCCAAAACGAAGAATCTTCCTTGAGATCAAAGTGAGGCACTTCGACCGTGTTAACAACCGTGGGCGGCGCGCAAGCCGAACTGGGAACCCCTTTATACAATGCAGCATAGTTCCCCAAACGAGCACTGAAGCCTCCATCGGCCTTGCTCCGAACAGAGCTCGGCGGCGGCTTAGTCACACTCTTAGTCGGAGTGCTCTGCGTGGAATTGCTCTCAGAGTAAGCCGCGGCACTCGAAGAAGCTCTCCCCGTGGTGCGAGGCACGCGAGGAGTGACATTTCCGACGCCGGATCCTCGCCTATCGTCGCCAAAGGACGAAACGGCGTCGTTCTTGTGGTTCCAGCCGAACCGGTTTTTCCACAGCATGCTCCCTCCTCCGTGCTTATCCGGCGTGCGAAGCTCAGCTCCTCCTCCGCGACCTTTGTTATTGGCCTTCGAAGGAGTCCTCTCAACCTTGCTTTCGCAATGCGCATCGAGTTCTTGAAATTGAATAGTGTTCAACGGAGGTCTAGAACCTTCCGCGTGCCTCGGAACTGTGGTGGATGAATCGCAGGGATTTACATTCTCCGGTTCTTCGTGTTTGCCAGGGTTTCGGCGTGGGAGCTTGAAATCCCTCAGCATTCTAACGCACATGAAAATTCACGAATGGCGCAGAATTAATCAAAAATTATATAAGAAAAGAAAGTGAGTCTCGAATTGCGAAATGAATTCGCACTTGGCAGTACCTGAAGGAGGAGTTGCAGAACAAGATTCCGAAGCGACGAATTTGATTGAGGAGTGGTGAATTTCGCTTTGGTTTTCGTTGTTGCTTCAATCTGAGTTCAACGAGATGTTGTGGCTAGGGATTTGAGATTGAACTGGAACGTTCAAGTTCGACATAGATCCAAGTCACTCTCTCTCACACACACACTCGCTCACTCTCGCTGTGAGGATTTGATTTGAAAATCGCAGTTGAAATCGATGTAAGGAAAAGGGTCTTTGAAGTGAACGGCTGAGATTTGATCCAGAATTCAAAAATGTGTAAAGTTAAACGTAATCGCGGTTTGGGGATTTGAAATGATGGGGCATTTTGGTCATTCAAAGTGGGACACTTTAATTACAACAAGGATTCAAATTTTCAACGGCTAGATGGTGTCGTGGTTCTACGACCGTACGACGGCCCTTTACTATCTTGGACGTGACTTACGTTGGGTCCATTTCTATTACTATTTTCTCCATTTTTCTGCATGGACTTGGGCCATATAGGTTTCGGAATTATTATCTGACAAAAAAAAAGTAATATGAAAATATGTATTTGTCTCAAGTCATCTATGCATTTCTATAAACTTATTTTAAAAAATAACTGATTCATATTTATAATTTGGGATTGATTCTTATTTTCACTAAGTTGCACGACTTCTCTCGTATTGAGTAACTAATTATATACGAGAATACACTAATAAATATTTTGACATCAATTTCTTTGAACTTCTTGATTATTGACAACATTGAAGGGTGGAGTACCTTCAAGAAACACTTTAACATTCAAGTTAGAATGAGCTCAAATATGTAGATAAGTAATAAATGAATAATAATTTTATCTCGATTTGTGTAACTATTTATACAGATCGTAATGAGTTTGAATCTATTGGATTTTAGTTCTTGATTACTAATTAGGTAAAATAGTTACTGATGATGTGTTAGTCCATTAATCATGTTTTATGCCTTTTATTAGTTAAGTAATCCATTTTATGAGTTGAGTCATGATCGTGTTAGTTATCACGATTGTCTAGGTCACCAAAAATGTCAAAACTATCACAATTAGGGCAAGCATGCACATAGAGCGACCGACTTGGACTATTTTGGTCATCTTGGTTGCACATGATGACGAGATCATAATGAGTGTGGTAATCATGAATATAAATTTGATGCGCTTCAACTAGCTTGGCCATATGGGATAGTGAAACGAATTGCGTATGTGGTCAATGTTGTTTAGCCGTCTTGGCAACTAGGATTGTTGAAGCATGTCCATATAATCCTCTTTGGTCATTTCAGTGGTCGAGATGGTCGAAGCATGTCCATATAGTACATTTATTGTATACTTTTTATTCTATTTAAATTATTTATATCATTTAGGTTTAAATATGTTTTTACTCTCTCAAATTTTGAGTATATATTTTTTTTAAACTTTTAAATTTAAAATTGTGTTCTTAGTCTTTATAATTTCATAAAATATTATTTTAGTCTCTCAAATTAAAAACTTGTGTTTTTAATTCCAAAACTTCAAAACTTATTATTTTAGTCTCTCTCAATTTATTATTATCAGTTAAGATATTAATGACTATAACAATATTTTTTGAAATTACAAAAACTAAAAAAATAAAATTTCAAATTTGAGTGATCAAAATACAAAGGAAAATATATAATTAAATAATAAAAATCTTTAGTTAGGTTTCATCGTCATTCAAGGATTAATTGTCCATGTCATTATGATAGTTTGAAAATTTAGAAATTTTATAACCCATAAGTAATTCAGTTTGTATTACATGGTATGGATATGTTTAGACAAAATATGATTGAATATAATATATATTTTGAAAACTATATCTATTTGGTGCCTATTCAACCATCTAGTTGGCTACATGGAGATTCTCATTATTTTATATATTTGATTACCTAATTGATTATGTCAAAACATATTCAAAACCTCATCAACACTATGGTTTCTATTTATAACCAAAAAATTCCCTATACTATACATATTTGTAACTGCACTGGAGTACAAGGGTAATTTTATCCTTATTCCTAAAGCTCATGATCCTCGTCCTTCAAAAAATTATTTATTATAATTATTTATGAATTAAATTTATTAATTTTAAAATAAATTATCAATTAATTAAAAATTATATTATAATATAAATTATTTATTATAAATATAAAATATAAAATATAATTTATATATTTAAAAATGCCTACATATTTAAATTTTAAATTAATTAATATAAATTTATACAAAATTTATTTTAAATTTCAATTATATATAATATATTTAATATGTGTATTGCACAGACTAAAACAATGGTCATACATAATTTGACACTTAATTATAATATTATTCTTTGTTCTTAACCAAACTTACATATTTATTTTCTATTAAAAGTAAACAACCACATTCATAACACGCCTAATATACGACAAAGTAAGTTATTGCTATAATAATGACATAAAAAATCAACAAATAAAAGTGAAAAAAAGTTTAAAAAGTTTTGTGAATTCTAATCAACTAAAAACACACATAGTAAAAGTTTGATGGAATGCACACATGTTTCTCCTAGAATCGATGGCCATTATGTATGTAGAGTAATTGGTATTTAAGAAAGTTTTCTGCAAGTGTTTTCAATCAAAGAAAAATGATTGTCTAATCCCTTATTTATAGGAAATATACTAACAATCAAATTATAAGATTTCAACATGTGTACAATTAGTTACAATATTATGTTACAAATTATGGCTAGCGTGCGTAAGTGGACAAATCTCACACTGTGCATGAGTTTTTCATGATGCTTAGAATACACAAATAATAAATCAATGTTAAGGATTGTGCGGGAGCATTATAGTTGTAAGTAGGGTGGGCAGACGGACCCCGGTCCGCGGACTGGTCCATAAGTCCGCGGATTTCGCGGATAACGGACCCGTTTTTTTCAAATCTGTATGATTATGTCTAATTTTTGAGTCCGGTCCGTGAAGTCCGCGGACTTGCCGGATTTAATCCACGGGCTCGCGGGCACTAATTAATATTTTTAAATATTATGATTTTAATATTAAGTTGTGTATTTAATTTTTTAAATTATGATGACATTAAAATTATGTTTAGTTGGCATGTATTTGTCAATTGAATTACTTTTAGGACATTTTGATGCTTTTATTATTGAAAGTTTGGTACTATTATTTAATTATGTGTAATTATTTTTATTTTAATATTTTAATATTTAGTATTTTAAACCATTTTAACTATTGATAAATTTTAGTATGATAAAATTTAGCTTATAAA